TCCGAGGCAGTATCACTATGGAAGTAGATTGCCCAACCTTCCTTCCGAGGAGTGGCTGGTGGGTTTGAACTGCCAGCCTTCTGGTTAGCAATCAAATGCCTTAGGCACTATGCTACCAGAGCTCCATATACATACATATATATGTATATATATATGCATACATAGTTATGAACATACATATGTTCATCACATTTAAAAATTTTTTTAAAAGTTTCATACACATACATACTTAAAAAGCACCAGAGGCGGCTTTTCCAGGCACACTCCAAACAGTAGCCAGAAGAAGCAGAGCAAAGACCTAAATTTGCCCAGCCCAGCCTGCAGGAGAACGGAGAGCCAAAATGGTGTGTACGTCTAGAGGGGGTGCTGTCAGAGCAGTACCTGGAGAGCATTTTAGGGGCTGAGCAGGCAAGGAACGTTCTGAGGTTCATGTGAGAGCTCCCAGACTCTTGAAATCCAGAGGCCTTCCCACCTGTCTTGGGAAGGACTTCATCCAGTCATCCCTGAATTAAGGTCCAGGGGAGACTAGAGGAGATTTCCAAGGTAGGGGGTGCTAGTGTAACCTGAAGAGTAGGTGGCCTCATAGGCTGTACCGTGGCCTAAGAAGAAGTCCTTTGGCAAGAGTCTGCTGTGTTTCCTGGTGGACTTGCTAAGACTTTTTTGCTGCGTGTGAGCTGTGAAGTCTGTGTCCTCACTTTATTTATTTTCATTTGCTTATCAAGGCTGGAGTGTGATGAGGAGTGTTCAGCCTTGGAAAGGAAAAAGTAAGTAGTTTCAACATCTTGTTATCTACTTTTCCTTGAACTCTGTGAAATTAATGGGAGGGAGCAACCCTTGAAGCACTCACTCAGCACCTGCTCTGAGTATTTTGTTGACATTGGAGAGCAAGAGAGATGCAGTCATCAAGAATTGACCCGTTTCAGGATAAATCACTTAGGCAGTTTCAGCACATTTCAGAGACGTGAGTTTGTGTGGCTTTGAGCCTGGTGTAAATGTTATCTACCACAACATACTTAACTCAGTGACTGGCAAACTTTCTGATACCAACAAGATAAGAGGTTTAAAAAATATTTTTAATGAACTTTTATATTGAAATATAGCATGCATATAGAAGATCAGTGCATTATCACAAAGTAAATAGAACAGCGATGCTTGACCAGCATCAAGGTCAAGAACTAGAACGTTACCAATACCCCAGGACCCTCCCTTGTATTCCCACCTTCATCCCCAAAGGTAAAACCTCTGTCATGACTTTTAACACATTAGATTGGTTTTATCTATTTTTGAGCTTTATATAAATGATGGAATCATATAGTTTCTCTTATTTTTGTTTGGTATCTTTCATTACATTTGTGGCATTCGTTCCTATTGTGGCAAGTAGCAGTTGATTGCTCATTTTCATTGCTGCATGTTTTTTCACTATATTAATATATCATAATTTATCCATTGTACTGTTAATAGATATGTGTTGTTATTGGTATTGGGCTATTACAAATAATGCAATTAAGAACATTCTTATCCTTGTTTTGCGTATATGTACTCATTTCTGTTGTATATAAACTTAGAAGTGGAATTGCTGGTTTTTAGAAATGCATATGTTCAGCTTTAGTTGTTGTTGTGTGCCATCAAGTCGTCTCCAACTCACAGAGACCTTAAGTACAATAGAATGAAACACTGCCCGGTCCTGTGCCAGCCTCATGATCCCTACTATACCTGAGCCCATCATTGCAGCCACCGTGTCAGTCCATCTTATTGAGGGCCTTCCCCTCTTTCATTGACCCTCCACTTTACCAAGCATGACATCCTTCTCCAGAGAATGGTCCCTTGTATGACCAAAGTAGGTGAGATGAAGTCTGGCCATTCTCGCTTCCAAGGAGCATTCCAGCTGCAGTTCTTCCAGGACATATTTGTTAGTTCTTTTAGCAGGCCACAGTACTTTGAGCATTCTTTGCCAGCACCACAACTCAAAAACATCAACTCTTCTTCAGTCTTCCTTATTCATTGCCCAGCTTTCACATGCATATAAGGCAATTGACAGTACCATGGCTTGGGTTAGGCACATCTTAGTCTCCAAGGAGATATTGTAGGAGATTTAGTAGATTCTGCTGAACAGTTTCCAAAGTGGTTGTACTGTTTTACATTCCCACCAGCAGAGTGATAGTTCCAGTTGTTTTGCATTTTCATGAGCACTTGGAATAATTGGTCTTTTAATTTTTAGGCTTTCTTGTGGATGTGCAGCAGGATATCATTGAACTTATTTCCCTGATGACTAATAAGATAGAGCACCTTTTCTTATGTTTATTGGCCATTTGGATATCTTCTTTTGTGACGTGCCTATTCAGGTCTTTTGTTTATTTTTTAATTGTGTTATCTGTCTTTCACATGGATTAATAGTTCTTCATATATTTCGGTTACAAGTCCTTGTTGGTTTTGTAATTGTGAGTATTTTCTGCTATCTTTAGCTATACTTTTCACTTCCTTTAATATGGTGTCTTTTGATGAACAGAATTTCTAATTTTAATGTAGTCCAGTTCATCATTCTTTTCCTTTATGAGTAGTGCTTTTTGTGTCTTGTTTAAGAAACATCAGCCCATCCTGAAATCACAGTGATAGTTTCTTGTGCTACTGTCTAAGAGCTTTCACATTTAGATCTACAGTTAACCTGTAATAATTTTTTTGAGTTTAGTATAAAGAGGGTTCATGAGCCAGTCTTTTTCCATAGGAATCTCTGTTGGATCCAGTTACTGTGTATTAAGGTGATCCTTTTCTCAGTGCTCTGCAGGGCCACCTTTGTCATAAATCACATATTCATATGTATATGCATCTGTTTCTGGATTCATGCTCTTCCACAGCACTATCTGCCTGTTCCAATATCACATTGTCTTAATTATTGTACATTGATGATATCCTGACCCCATTATATAGAGATTCTTTCTTAAATACCCACTGCCCTGAGGAGAAAAAGTGCAAATTTAATGTTACAAATATATAATTTTAAAAGAGTGCTCTCCTGCTTTTATAGACATTGCCAGTCATGACAAACCAAACACTTAGCTTACAGACATGTTTAATTAGTATTTAAATTTGAGTGGCCATCATCTAGAAATCGAGATCTCCCCACCAAGAATTATCTTGAAAATTTGAAAATGAAGCCTCTCTTTAAAAATTGAAAGATCTAGCCATAGTGAACCAGATTCCTGTGGTCACTGAGCTTGCAAGGGACCCCTGTCCTGGTGTAAATGAAAATTGTACTAAATGCTGAGCTGAATTCTGTCTATCTTTAAAACAAAACAAAATGTGAATGGTGTTGGTGAGATACAGTGAGCCGCATGCAGTTTTGGAGAACACCTAGGCAGCACTGATCAAGAGTCTGTGCCCATACCTTTTAACCCAGTAATCAGCCCACAACTGGAAACATTTCCCAGTGAAATATTTTTAAAAGCTATTTGCACAGAGATGTGTCACTTATAACATTGTGAAACTGTTGAAGAAACTTAAATGGGGAATGTTAAGTGAATTGTGTTATATACATAATTAGAAGATTATGCAACTACTGAAACAAGTGTAGGAATCAAATGATAATATAAGAAGTGCTAATCATATAATAATAAGGGGAAATGTACAAAGTTTTATATATACTGATTGCAACTACTTAAAACTATAGGGGAAAAGTCTGCAAGGAAATATATTAAATTACAATGCTTACATTGGGATTGGATTCATTCCTTTATTTTCCAGACTTGCTGTAATATGATATTAATTTTAATATTTGTATGTCTACCATAGATACCTTACTTTTAAGTTAAATTTAAGCAAAAAAGATCCCATAGTGACCATTACCAGTGATCTCACCTGCCCTCAGCCTTCTCATCCTCAAATAATCCAAGTCACCAGTGTGAAACCTTTTCTCTTCAGAAACAAACCCGTTGCCGTTAAGGCAATTGCAATTCATAACAACCTCATGTGTTTCAGAGTAGAACTGTACTCAATAGGTTTTTCAATGACTGTAATCTTATGAAAATAGATTGCCAGTCTTTTTTTTTTTTTTCATTGCTGGGTGGATTCGAACTACCAACCTTGTAACAATATGACCAAGTATGTCCTAAGTTGTAACAAAACACTGCCTGGTCCTGTGCTAGCCTCATGATTCCTACTATACCTGAGCCCATCACTGCAGCCACTTTGTCAATCCATCTTGTTGAGGGCCTTCCCCTCTTTCATTGATCCTCCACTTTACCAAGCATGACATCCTTCTCCAGAGAATGGTCCCTTGTAACAATATGACCAAGTATGTCCTAAATTGTTATTATTCTTTCTTTAATAATCTGGTTTATTGAGATGAGTAATACATAAAGTACTTAGAACAAGGTAGTCACTCTATGTTGTTATAACACAGTTTCCCTTCCCTTCCTTTCCTTTTATTAATGCACTTCTCTCTCTTACTTCCAGACGATTAGCAGAAGCATTTCATATCAGTGAGGATTCTGATCCTTTTAATATACGTTCTTCAGGGTCAAAATTCAGTGACAGTTTGAAAGAAGATGCTAGGTATGGAACTTGTTACCTCCTTCCCTTAATTGTGGCTTAAGAGAATATTTGGTCTTTTAAGATATAACTAGTAAGTACCTTCTTCTTTGGTTAAGCCAATTGAAATATGTTTATCTATTATAAGAGAGTATGCAACATTTATTAAACATCTATTGGTTTATTTAAACTGTCACTTGAAAAACTGAACTTGGGCAGGGGTGATATGTGTGTGTGTTTGTGTGGTAGGTCCCTTTGGTAGGAGTTTGGACCGCCTGAGGGCTGGAATAGACTGAATTTTGAAGGCTCTCTGGGCCTCATTCCAGGTCTGTCCTCCCAGGTCTATTAGTCACATGAGTCCTCACTTGGGAGCAGTAACAGCTCTTATTTTTCTCTGGTCTCCTGACCTTCCCATGGCTATTTCTCCTTCCATCTCATCTTTTCTTACACTTGTTTTCTCCTTCCTCGTCCTTTGTTCCATCACAGTCAACCTTCTGTTATCTGGCAGTTCCCGCCTTGGCAGCTTTCTGCCAGTAGTGTCCATTGTCTGTACTTTACAGCAGAGGGTAGGTAAAAGGGTTCCCAGAAGAGCAAGAGTAGATGAAATTAACTATTATAATTTCTCATTTCAGGAAGGACTTAAAGTTTGTCAGTGACATTGAGAAGGAAATGGAAGCTCTTGTGGAGGCTGTGAATAAGGTTGAAGTCAAAACATCCAACTGGACATGTCTCTAAGGCCAGCTTAATAGAAAATCAAGTCCTAGAAACACTGGCAGCCTAAAGCAGTTAAAGGAAAAAGTCACGATGTCCTTGAGGATCCTTATCTTTCCCAAAAGCCCACCCCTTATACCATCCATGCAAGCCTGTCCTGATTCGACCATTATAAGAAAGAAATCTTTGATCAAATTAAATGTAAATTAAAACCGTAGTTCAGTGCCTAAGATCAGATGAAGAAACTCTGGACAAGGTAGACTTAACACTGATAGTTGAATGACTGTGGGAAACTTTGGAAGGCACCCCCTCAGAGGGACTCTTGTAAGAAAGGGGAGCCCTCTGGCTCTGTTGCTCCAAAGAATAACCGTTGGGCAAAGATAAAGAGTTGTGTGACTAGAGCTGAAGAACAGTGGGAGAAACTCCCTCAGAGAATGAGGCCCTGTCACTGGAGACAGCCCGGGATGTTGAGAAAATGAATAGAAGCAGTCAACCCTGTGCTGGCACCCTCTTCACTCAGTGGGACCTATGAGTGTGGACAGGGATGGCTGCTTTAGCTCTCTATGTAATGATGATGGTTCTTCCCCCTACCATCCCCTTCCCCACCACCCTTCTGTCCTCACTTCCCAGCAGAATACTTAACATGAAGGAAAATATAGAAGTTGTCATTTCTCTCCTGATTAGGAAGTCTGAGCAAATGTGTTTCTCTGCTTGTGCATTTGTACCCACACGTTCATACTTTTTAGCTTACAGTGTAATTTTATAGAAAGTGAGGTTTGTTTTTGTTTTTGCTTTAGTAGGCTTCCATTTATTTTGATATTTCTTGGGAATGCTACTCACTCCCTAGCTATGGCTGCAGCCAGGAGCCTGTCCTGTGTGCTTAAGTTTCAGTCACTTATTTACCATTGTCCCTAGCCTTGTCTGTCCAGCTGCTACTGTTGTGGCTCACAGAGTAGGAGAAGGAAATGCATTAGCCCTCGTCCTCTAAAAACCCCTGGATCTGCTCACAGTCTCAGTGGAGCAGTCATACTGTGGCCCAGAGAGCTCAGCTACCTGTACAGACCAGGCTGTTCTTGTGGTGGTGGTGAGGATCAATTAAGCGTTTTCTGTTTTCAGGGCAATTTTATCAATCAGTCTTCTCTTCCCTCAATACAGGGAAAGAATATTAAGAAAAGCCACTGCTTCCCTCCCATGAACAGAGACCACCGCCGGATCATCCACGACCTGGCCCAAGTTTATGGCCTGGAGAGCGTAAGCTATGACAGTGAACCAAAGCGCAACGTCGTGGTCACTGCAGTCAGGTGGGTTGATCCTGCACCACAGGAGGAATGCCTCCTTAGCAGGGCTACCTGGACCCAGAAGCAGGCTCTGTCAGTGTCTGCTTTCTTTCTCCTCACCCTCCTTGAAGAATAGCTGGGAAATCTGCTCCTCTGGGGTAGCTATTCCAGATGTTTTAAGGTTTGAATCAGAGAGTAAAGCTTCTGCCTCAGTCCATAGAGCATACCTGCCTAAAGTGCATAAGCCTTCACGCCACCCCAGATCCGCATGACGCACTGGGAGGCAGCTTTGTCACAGGTGGACAAGGTAGACCTGGAGAACCTCGGCTGGGAGCCTGCCCATTGTATCTGTCTGTTTTGCCCACCATAGTTTCCATTTCCTTTTCCTCCCTCTGACTGTTCCCTGACCCTGTCGTGGCTGGTTAGAAATAGCAAGAACACTGGACTGTGCCCTAAGGCATGAACTGTGACTAGCATTTTGCCATCAGGGAAAACAGGCAGTACTGTGAACCAGGAGGGGGCAGAGAGGACCTAGGATCACTGTCAGAACCTGGGAGAGTAGGAAGAACTTCACAATGAAACAAACTCATGTGTGAGAAGAGAGGAAGCAGGCAACAGGCCCAACAAAGGTTGTTTGGAAGGGCAAGGGTTGAATGAAGGTGACCGTGCCTGAGAGGAGGAGATAGGTCATATCAGTGCTCACAGCATCATCATGCCAAAGCCAGGGACTGATTTCATAGCTGTCTGCCCATCTCTCCAAATGATTCTCTTTTTAATACTTTGTGTTTTGACTTTTGCCAGAGGGAAATCGATTTGTCCTCCTACCACTCTGACAGGTGTTCTTGAAAGGGAAATGCAGTCACGACCTCCACCACCAATTCCTCATCACAGACATCAGATGGACAAGTAAGAATTCTGCTGCTGCTTTCCAAAGGGCCCTGTCTGTTCCAGGAAGCCAGCAGGGGTGTATCTGTCCTGGGCTGTACCAGCCACTGCAGCCCTCCTCAGGCCTGGTGCTATGCTCAGATATGTCAGGTTTGATGGGGATGTTGGACACACTATTCTTACCAGAAGGGTCCTAAGTTTGATGTCTGTAATGCCCACAACGCCTCTGGGGGGAACACTCACTAGACAGAATCTACAGTAATGGTGGATGGTGACACTAGAAAGTGGATTCAGTCTGTCATGCCAGGTGATTGAGGACTAGAGTTTCACTTAATAATAGTTACTCTGAAGGTACAAGTGGGAGTTGGCAGTGAAGGGTACTTTTCATGTCTTGTTCTGTCTCGTATGTGGTTCGAATCATTGACAACAAAAACTTTCTTTTTTTTTTTTTTAATTTTATTGTGATTTGGGTGAAAATTTACAGAGCAAATTCATCTTCTATACAGCAGTTCACACACACTTTTTCTCATGACATTGACTGCAATTTCCCACAATGCAACAGCTCTCTTCCCACTTCTTCCTCATAGTTACCTCTTCCCTGTGTCCTTCCCTCCCATGCACTCCTGCTCTGCAAGCTGACTCCCTGTGCATATACAGCCCTTCTATTCTCCCATGATTGATCTCTCCAAGGAGTGTGTCTACCTAATGTAAATGTTCAGCTCATATGCCTGTCTTTTGTTTGGCTGGCAGCCACAGGAGTGGTTCAGTTCTAGACCTGAAGGGCAGTTATGGGCCATAGTCTCAGGGGTTCCACCAGGCTCTATCAGACCAACAAACCTGGCCCCTTTTCAAAAACGTATTCTTGATTAAAAGAAAAAACACTAAATTAGCAAGCACAATTCTGCTGGTGCTTTCTCAGGCAGGAGTGGGGGAGGACCACCACCCTCCTTGCCTCCTCTCACTTGCTAGGACAAGAGCCTGGCTGTTCTATGACTAAGGCAGCGGTGCCAGAAGTTCCTCTGAAGGTAGAAGTTCCTACTCCTGTTCTGTTCTTACACTAAAGCCCTAGCAGCACTGTCTCTGTGGCTCCTGCACAAAACCTCCGGTTAGGAAAGTTTACAAATTCACCGTGAGAGTTGTAGCACTTGGTGTTGTGTGTGATAGGGACAGCAAGGTATTGGCCGTGGTACACCTCAGCCAAGAGTGTCGGGGGCCATGTAGCTCCCTAGGACCAGCCCTCTCCACCTCAGAACCAGGTGACCTGAATCCTGGTCAGCATGTGTGTCTATGCATGTGGATAGGCAGTGGTTTGGGAAACATGAGGGCTGTCCCAAAACACCTACTGTCACAGCAGAGTCCAGTACCACTTGTACGTAACCATCATGGAGTCATCGGCATGTTTATGCCGTAGTGGTTTTTTTTTTTCCTTTGCTTGCTTTGTTTTTATATGAAACTTTACTATGGAAATTTTTAGGTTAAAGATATTTACTATAACAAATCTCTGTGTACTCCTCACCAAATGTCAGCAGTGATCAGCTCGTGTTTGCTCAGTATCTTATGAAGCATCACAACTGATAATTCAACTGATCCTAACTTTCTGAAGAACTATATCAGTTTTCTCAAAGAAGGAAAGATTGATCATTCTTTGTTTGTTTTTCAGGAATTCTGGGAGCATTAATTTACAGAAAATAGCCAAGGAACCAGTAATTGACTACTTTGATGTCCAGGACTAAGGAGCTCAAGACTCACTTAGATAAGACAATGATTAGGTGTAGCAGAGACTCATTTGTCAGCAGATAAATCACACTTGTCCCTCCATGCCTGGCGGAATCACAGCCTCACGTACTGTCTTGTCTGGATATATCCAAAGCATGAGTGTGTCAGCGATTCCCTTGTTCTCTATTCCTGTCTGCAGAGTGGATTCAGTGCAGCCAGATCTCCGACTCTGTGGACACTCGTTACTCAATTACATGTTTGAAGAGGCTCCTCACACCATCATTGTGATTGCTCTCAGGGTTGAGGGAACAGTGGGCTTCATTTGGACGAACCAGAGTTTTAGCCCCACACTGGCTTGATGACATTTAGTCGCCACCTGAGCTGTCCCAGTTATTCATCCTTCTGAAAATGCCTGCAACATCAGGTGCACCTTGCTTTCTTAACCCAAACCGATCTGTCTTTGGAAAGACACAAGTGGATCTTCAGTCTGAAATGCCGAACATTGAATTTGTACGCCGTATCTGGAATCAGACGTGTCTTAAACCCAGCTATTTTATCTAAGTCTTTTGCTAGAAACTCTCATTGGTCTATCTAGCTGAACTTGAGTGATTCCCAGTATCATCCAGTTAGGAAAGGAGAGGAATCGGGTTGATTTACAAAATTCCATTTCCTTGAATCTCTAGCACCTCCTGTACCACGTCACCGAGCTGTCTGGTGACACTCACTTTATCCATCCACCATGATGGTAGAGGACATAGAGCAAGCTCTTTCCTTTGCCAGATTCACACTGTGGCCTCTGAACTGACATGTACAGCCCTAATTCCCCTTCTGTAATTGAGAGTCTCAGGCCTATGTTGCTTTCTCTTAGCCCTTCAGCAGACATATTTGCTTGCTCGCTCTCTGAATTCTGGGCTTCTATTGAAATATTCAAAAAAGTATGTGGATAGTCTAGGGCTTATGCCCAGTGGCGCACTACGGTGTTCTTTATTTTTTATTTTTTTGCTTTTTTAATTATTGTGCTTTGGGTGCAAATTTACCTAGCAAACTTGTTCTACATTCAACAGTTCATGCACATCTGGTTTCATGGCCCCGATTACCATCCCCAACCATAAAAAACTCTCCTCCCTGTGACCACCCCCTCCTTGTGCACCTCCTCATCCTTGCGTTCCTGTCTGTCAAGCCTTCTCTGTATGTGAATACTACCCCTCTGGTGTCTCACGGTGGAGAGGTGTTCTTAAAGCTCTTTCTGGCAGGCAAATTGGCAATTACATTACTTTGGCCCTCTTTATATTGGTACCTCTTCATCGTGGAGGCCAGACTTCCAGCGGCTTCATCCTGCTCTAGAACAAGCCACGAACCCCAGAGCATCAGAAAGAGATTTTAGAAATGACATCCCAAAGCCAAGTGCTTAATTTTCTTAGAAAGAGCAGGGCTATCCTTTGATCCTCATCAGACAATCCTCTTTGAAAGACCGCGGGTACAGCGGCAGAACAGGCAGCCTGAGGGAAGAGATGGACAACTACAAAACTGCCTCTATCTGGGGCCGTTTAGTGCAGGATCAAATGGTTTCCTGATACACAGGAAGTCCATGAGCATCTCAGCTCAAGCAGTGGATCCAGTGAGGGGACTGTGTGTAAGAGAGCATCTGGGAATCAGCGAGATACTGGATTTCAGAATCTAGCTCACGTAACACCTTGCCACTTGGTGGAATAGAGGTGTCACACACCTCACCAGGGTGGTTGTGAGGATTAAATGAGATAACATTTGTGGAGGTGCCTGATGCATCATAGGTGCTGAAAGTTTATAAAATGATACTTGATAATCGAGAAATATGTAAGAATCTTCTTTCTCCATAATATTAACCAAGTAAAAGATTATGGAATGCTGAACAGGCCTCTTTCTGGTGGATGCCCACATGCATGTCCCCTACCAGCCTTAGGCTAGGACTGTGGGAAGCAGATCAGGCCTGTTCTCTCACCCATGGTGGACATATACCTGAACAGATATTTATCATGGAATATGATTAATCTGGCACAAACAGATTTTCATTCATTTAAAGCTAAAGAGCCATAAGAGGACATTGCAAAACGTTGTAGCCTCTTTCCTTCTCCAGAGGTAAGCAGCATGAGACAAGCAAGCCCTTGGGTATGGTTTGTGGTGTGTTTAAGGAAGGTTTAGTTGTCCAGAACGGGCTGGCAACCGGAGGTAGAGCTGACAAAGCTGGAAAGGTGGACATAGGTCAACTCGGAGAGAGCCACAGGGAACACAAAGGATCCTAAGAGAGTGGCGTGGCCCAATTTAGATCAAGAGCAGGGGTCAGCAAATTCTATAACAGTTTCTGTTGCAGCTATTCTAACTCTGCCATTGTAGCACAAAAACAGCCATAAATAGTAGGTAAATGAATGAGCATGGCTGTATTCCAGTAACACTGTGGACACTGAAATAAGAATTTCATGTGATACTTCAGATGTCACAAAATATTTTGATCTTTTTTCAACCATTTTGAAATGTGAAAACTATTCTTAGCTCGTGGGTCATACAAAAGCAGGTGGCAGACTGCATTGGGTCTATGAGCCTGTTCTTGAGCACTCAGGCAGAATGTATAGAAGAGATTGAGGAGCTAACCATGAGGCAGGAGGCTGCAGGAATGATCCAGGAAAGAAGAAGAGGCTTGTGTGAGGTGGTGCTACAAAGAGGGAGGAGATCAGGGAGGTAGAGTAGGCAGGATGCCAAGGGTATGCCCCCCTCAAAATGAACATCCATCTGCTTCTCAGGAGTTTGGTGAATTCTCCATTGAGCAGTGGCCTTGGACAAGATTTTACATGAGCTTGCACTCAAGGGAAAGAGACCCCAACCCGGACATGGAGGGATCCTGAGAAGCAGATGGTATCTCCAGCCCCACACTCTTGTCCAGCAAGTCTCTTTATGGGGCCAGAGCTTTCCAGAGATCATGTTCTTATCTGTGGGATTCCCTTTGGCTTTTCTGGAAGGGCTCGCCCCTCAGCAGTGGTGCCAGCATGGCATGCACTTGGGGGCCTGTGTGCAGGACCAGAGATGAAAGCAGGCCCTCATGATCACAGAGTCTGTGAGACCTGGATGGGACCTGGACAGACCAGTGGAGGGAAGGGAAAAATGTCAGCCTTAGAGGGAGGTGCAAAGTCTCCATTGGTGGGCACTGTTGATTTAGAGAGGTTCTGGGTTTGGAGGAGTTCTGCCTGTAGGGTGCCAGCCCTTTCACTTGTGCCTGACAGCGTAGAGACCCTATTCTCTCAAGAGACCCTGCCAGTGTGTTTCTTCTAAGATGAGAAAGGGTCTACCAGACTAGAGTTCCTTCACCTTCACCCTCACCTTCACTTTGCTCATTAGATCCCTCAAGCACTCCCCACCCCAAACCCCAAAGGACCTCAGCGCAAATGCCCCACACCATCTTCCATGGTCTTTTAGACTCAGAGGATTCTCTAAGCCCATCCAGCCCAGAAGGGACTGTTCCTGGGCTCATATGAGCAATGTGTGCCAGGCCAGCATCAGAATCCATGTTTGGATTTCCCAGCCTGGAGCTGCCCTACACCAGGAGGGTGCAGAGTTCTCAGGAGGAGATGAGCCATCTTCTCTGGCTTCCCCAAACAGAACTCAGTCGGGAGTCCTTCCTAGTGACCTGGGCTGCCTTCAGCCCCAAGCGTTATGAAGTCTCTGTCATGAGGCACAGCTTGCAGGATTCTGGAGACCCGGTTCTGCTGAGGACCCCAGCTGCACAGTTGGGATGCCTGGATTCACTGCTTCAGTGAACTCTGGGTGGTTAGCTTACAGTTGGAGCATTGATTTTCCCTTCTGACCAGTGGGGTAATAGTTTCTGCCTGTGTCTGCCACCCAAGTTCATTGTGTGTGAGGCTCAGAGACCAGTGGATAGACAGGGTAGAGAGGTTGGGAGAGTTTCCCAGTGTCACATGGCACCTCAGCACAATCAATCCCCTGCATCCCATCCCAGGACTGAGTCTCTCAAGAAGATGGCTCTAGGGTAGAAGGGATAGAGCAGTTGTGAAATTGCCCTGCCAAGAGGCCTGGGATTTTAATCGTCCCTCCCCCTCTCATCACTGCTGTCCCCCACCCCGAACCTGACAACAGTGAGGAGGTCACCATAGGCCACACTTTGCCAATAACCCTTTCTGATATGGATAACAGCTATTGAGCACTTAATAAGCACCAGACATTATGCTCATCTCGTTTGCTTCTAAGTGCCCCGTGAAGCACATATTCTAATTATCCCTATTTTATTGCTAGGGAAGCAGAAGATTGGATAAATTAGATGACTCAGTGAAAAATTGGAGGTCTAAAATTCCTGCTAGATTGGAATCCAAACCTGTGTCTTCACCACACTGGCAGAGCAGGGCCAGCACCTAGAGCACCTGGAACTCATCCTGGAGTCTCTGAAGCAGGGTGGCCCAGTGGGTCAGGACAAGTGGGAAGAAAGGACGCTTATGTTCTGTCCCAATGTTGAGAACTCGGACAGCCTACGGAGAAGATGGATTTTTTTTCCTATAAGAGCCACTAGGGGGTGGTATAGATCCCTAAACCAGGAGTGTGTGTGTGTGAGCGAGAGAGAGGGAGAGGGAATAGAAGGGGTGGGATGGGGCCAGAAAAATTCTCTTTACAAAAACTTTTTAAATTCTAATTTGGGTGAAAGTTACTTAAAACTTTGAAAGTATAGTTTATAACCAGTATCTCTTAAATTTCTCACCTTTTCATGTTTTTGTTTGCTTAATATAGTTTGTCCCTGCTTATGAACAGTATACCTTGGGGAAGAGAACATAAGCAAAAGTGAAATGTGTTCTTCAGAAAAAGAAGATCCCAGTGAACTCCCTTCCTCCCTATGGTCTTTAACAGTTTCCTCCCTGCCTCCAGATCTGAGGTTCCTGTGGGACATCCAGGAGATGTCCATAGACGATTGGTTATAAGGGTCTGGAACGGTGGCCTTTTATTCATTTGTTCAACATAACGTTTATTAAGTACTTACCATGTG